GGCGGGTCGCGACGTGTTTGCTACTCTTCTGGCAGACATTGTTGCATTCTGGCCACCAAAACAATAGTCTGTCGTTTCTGCTGCTGCTGCTGCATTCCGACCTCTTTCCAGATCTACTAAAGTGTAAAATTGTTCCGATTGTCACTTCGACCTGAACAAAGCACTGTACATCTAGAATGATTTGCCCTTTTTTAGGGCCACCCCACAGTACCCCAATTCCGATTTATCCCCGATTGCACGTAGTTTCCATACACACACAAATTTGTCAGCTCCCGAATAGTGTGGATCGATAACGAAAGGAGAAAGTTAATAGGATATTTTTTAAAGCAGTGGTCTCCAACATGAGACCATTATCCTCTTTTTAATCAAATTTTGTTATGTTGGAGAAAAAGGGGGAGGGGGTGGTTGGATCGTGGTGTCTTGCCATAAATTCGAAAGGAGGGGGGGGGGGGCGCAGAGGTCTGGCAACATACTAAGAGGGGTGGGGTGGGGGTCTTGCAATATGCTCAAGTGTACTCAAGGGGGCAAGCGGGATGCGACTTGAACAAGATTAGAGACCATTGCCTTGCAGCAGCAGCAACAACAAAGCATATGTTGACTGTTTATGGTTTAACTAGGTAATTTTACATTCAGTAGTTGGGGGGGGGGGGGGGGGAGACACATTCTGGATTTATTTCCTCAATTTTTTTTAGCCCGCTTAAAAGTACAGATGATTCTTTCTAATCGAATTCAGCATTTTTCGGGGATTTTCCACTTCTGCAGAAGTGAAGTAACTAAATGTTAAGTGTTGTTGACCTCTATAATGGGATCATGTTTAATTCAATTTGATTATTGCACAGATTTAATGTGGCGACATCTGTATAACCTAGTTAGGTGGCGACATCTGTATAACCTAGTTAGGTGGCGACATCTGTGTAACCTAGTTAGATGGCGACATCTGTATAACCCATTTAGTGGCGACATCTGTATAACCTAGTTAGGTGGCGATATTTGTATAGCCTAGTTAGGTGGCTACATCTGTTTAACACAGTTAGGTGGCGACATCTGTATAACCTAGTTAGGTGGCGACATCTGTATAGCCTAGTTAGGTGGTTACATCTGTATAGCCTAGTTAGGTGGCGACATCTGTATAGCCTAGTTAGGTGGCTACATCTGTATAACACAGTTAGGTGGCGACATCTGTATAACCTAGTTAGGTGGCGACATCTGTATAGCCTAGTTAGGTGGTTACATCTGTATAGCCTAGTTAGGTGGCGACATCTGTATAGCCTAGTTAGGTGGCGACATCTGTATAACCTAGTTAGGTGGCTACATCTGTATAGCCTACTTAGGTGGCTACATCTGTATAGCCTAGTTAGGTGGCTACATCTGTATAGCCTAGTTAGGTGGCGACATCTGTGTAGCCTAGTTAGGTGGCTACATCTGTATAGCCTAGTTAGGTGGCGACATCTGTGTAGCCTAGTTAGGTGGCTACATCTGTATAGCCTAGTTAGTTGGCAACGTTGATAGACAGTGAAATGCAATGAAAGTCATTTCGATACGCTTTAACAAAACGAAATTAGCTGTTAAAAGCCTCCACAAATGTAGAAGGCAAAACGATAGAATTGTAAAAACCAAATGACGTATTTTAGATTCTTCTATTTCAGATCTAACAGATTCCAGTGCAAGCTATCATCCCCGTCCCAATGTGGGACGCCCATTGTTTATTCTGTTATTTTAAAACCTCACTCCGGCTGTCGTCGGGAGCCCTAAATATAACCTAGGTAAAGACACACACAAAACTATACTGTTGCCTCGTGATATTAAATTTATAATAGGTAACACTTCAAGAATGTTCCTTATTTCTTGCGTGTTTTTTGAGCTGTTGTAGCATAGAAAAGTAGACAGACGTTTGCCTGCATAACCAATGATCTAGATTCCAATCCAGATTTTTAAAAACACAAAAAAATGACCTTTGCACCCAGATCCACCCAGTACTAGAAATAGGTTTACAGGACGTTGCAGAACAAACCCCAACAGCCCCTGGCTGTTGTGTGGTTTTTCTAGGCAAATTTACGTCCAGTAGTTTGCTATTGCTTTCTGGGCAGTCAGCTTTCTTGATACCACTGACGAAGCCAACGCAAGGCGCATGGCCCGCAGCTGCGATCGAACCCGGCACCCCGGCATTACGAAGCGTTTGCATCGACTTAGCCATAGAGCAGACAGTGCTAGAAATAATTTCTTTAAAAGTCAGATATTGGTGTGATATGCATCTTCACTGAGTGAACCAATGGTCTATAAAAAAAAAAAAAGAAATCTAGGTCAATCGCGCTCTTTTGTTAATACGCTCCCAAATACTAATTTTACCCATAATATATGGGTATCTATAGTGTGCAGATGTGCAAATATTCTTCTTCCTTTTTCTTCCTTTTTCTTTTTTCTTGGTATTCAACCTTCTTCTTCTTCTTCTTCTTCTTCTTCTTCTTCTTCTTCTTCTTCTTCTTCTTCTTCTTCTTCTTCTTCTTCTTCTTCTTCTTCTTCTTCTTCTTCTTCTTTCTCCTCCTCCTTCTAATCCTTCTCCTATTCTTGTTCTTCTTCTTCTGCATTTGCCCTTTTAAAAGAAAGTTGTGTTGTGGTACGCTGTTATGCAACAATATCTGCATGTTTCGGCCAAACACACCAGAAGTTGTTTATTTTATTGCCGTCCTTTTTATGATGAAATTTTACGTTATTCAAAGCCCCGCCCTGGCTCTTGCAAGAGGCCGCAATATAGCCAGGCCATAAATATGGCCAAATGGTTGAACGCAGTTTCTGGGACCTCTCCACTGTGATCCTCATCCACATGGTGGCACATTATGTCATCGGATGTTTATCGCTTGTGTGATGTCCTGGTGGGGTAGAAAGTCAGTCAGTCAGTCTACACACCAGATTTCTGCAAATCCTTAAATATTCAGTGTTAATGCATTCTCATTAAAGGGCAATTGGTTTATCTTTCCCCTCCCCCTGCCTATCAAATGAGGCCACTTATACCCACATGTAAATGTTTCTCATGTTATTCAGCATTGTGGGTACATTACACTTCTCGCTGAGCAATGAAATTAGAAGGAAAATAATAGAAATCTTAAAAAACATTACCCACAAATCCCAGAAAGATGAATATTAATTACTGAAAGACAACGTAAAAACTAAAACACTTATAATGTGCATTCTTGACTCCGAAAACACAAAGCAAATGAGACATAAATATTGATAACGTCTAATTAGGAAGTCAAGAACTGCTATCTTCGTGGACTGCAGAAAGAACACACAGACCGTAAAATCGGTTCGTTCAGTGTATGAAAAATTCCTATCAACTGCTAAATATAACCTACAACTGACCCCACAAGCCATGCGACCCTGCCTATGGGAAGCTGAACATCTGGGAACATGTTTACTTGCTGGGATGCAAACAATAAGTCCATGTTCTGTGACCTGTGACCTCTTGTCTTCTCGTTAGCTCCCATTGGCTCAACACAACATGCCTGCTATCATATCTGTTTATTGGTTAGAACCATGGCATTGTGACTAGTGTTCTTGCTCTACAAGGTAGTGGTCTAAGTTCAGTTCTGGGCAGTAGTACATAAATCTTTTACTTCCACTAATACGGCTTTGGGGCGACTCAGTTTCATGAAAATGGATGCGTGGTAAGCAGAAGGAATGGCGACGGCGGCTACATCAATGAATTATTAAATGAAAATATGTACAGGATCAACACTTTACACCCCAAAGGCAAGTCTGCTGAAAACTAAATATGCCTGAATCATTCTTGTGGCAAAGTAGCCAGAATGCTTGCTTGTCAACACAGTATTCCGGATCCAGTCGTTGTTTTCCATGGTTAATACGGCTCTTTGGATAGTAGCACAGGGGCTAGTACTATTGAGAACCAGTCTCGAGATAATATACTCGACTCCCTTGAAGTTATTTTCCACTACAAAGAAAACAGAGCTACCTAAACGCACATTGTCCACTAAAGAGATTGAAGGGAGACCATGTTATGTACATCAGCGCAACTACACATTATTCCTGGCCATAGAATATTATTCAGAACCTAATGAAACACAATAAAACGATAACCATTGACCAAAAAATGTTAAGTTTGAAACACATATAGTTCGATTAATAATTAAAGCAATGCTAAAGTAATAATATGCTGAAAATAAAAATATAATTTTGAGCCTGAAAATACAGATGTCCCAATGATACATCCCTGGTGACTTATTCGTCATCCTCTTGTGAGATGCAATTTTTGATATCTCCCCCCCCCCACCCCACCCCTTCCTCTTGCCAGGGGCCGCAATATAGCCCGGCCACAAATATTTCCACATCTGAACGCGGTTTCTGGGATTTCTCCACTGGTGATCCTCACCCACATGGTATCATTGGGTGTTTATTGCTTGTGTGATGTCCTAGTGGGATAAAATGTACTACTACTACTACTACTACTACTACTACTACTACTACTACTACTACTACTACTACTACTACTACTACTACTACTACTACTACTACTACTACTACTACTACTACTACTACTACTACTACTACTACACTGGTAACTTGTAAAGTGAAAATTAATTATGTTCGTCAATTCTGTATTGACTACAGGATCCCTAGCGTTATGTGGTCCTGGGAAACCGCTATAGATCAACTATTTGACGCTACAGCCATCCTTCGGCGACCAGGTCACCCATTAGCTTTTCGGTAGACGGCCTCGTCGTCGGTCAGGACGGTATCTGGGCCTGTGTCCTTTTATGGCATAAACACTGCAAGAATCCTGTTCAGGGCTACGTGGTGGCGAGCAGTGTTGAGTCATTTTATATGGCGAAAAAAAAACCTAGTCACAATTATATCCAAAAGCTTCCCCATTTGGGGATGCTGGCTGAAAGTGACTGTTTTGTGTGTGTTTGTGTGTGTGTGCGCTCAACATCGGGTCGGATTGGCTACGACCGTCACAGTGTAAACATGAATGATTGCATACTTACCAATGAAGTCAGCTTTACCATTAGAATGATGCAACATCAAACCATAAAACCGGTGAACAAAACCAGCACAGATCCATGAGCTAGAAAAACGGTGTCATGGTCATCTGAAGAAACAAAAAAGGGGGAAGAAGCAATCCCTTTATATTTATCTCACAGGATAAGGACAAATGGCAATCTTCTTTCTTATACTTCTAAGTCTGTGTAACTGTTTCAAACAAAACAAGTTTCCGAAATAACAGACAGGGCGGGGGTCATTGTTAGAAATGGAATTTAAAATGGTGAGATTAGACAATAACAGGCACCGGTCATTAAACTGAATTGTTTTTAAAAAAATAACAAAGAAAGCAATTCAGTCATCTTGTGATAACGATGCACAATCAACTGCCATGTTATGTGTATAGGGCGAGAGGTTCTGACTAAACAGCTGAAGGCCATGAAATTCTCAGATGGATGAGTTAGTTAGTTAGTTAGTTGATTAGTCTTTTTTTTTTCTCTTGCGCCTAGGGCAGCACATAGGGCAGAGGTCATAGCTCTCCATGTTTGGCGGTTCGTTGCCAGCTGTTTTTTTGGTCTTGGATGTTTATTAGGCCCACGATTGCACCTTGCCTGGTAATGATTCTAAGCAGGCTTTTTCTTGGTCTTCCTCGTTTTCTTTTCCCTTCAGGTGTTCATGTGAGGACTCGATGGGAGAGTCGGGTATTATTCAGATGGATAAATTCTACAGAAACAATTTAAAAGCAGTCAAAACGACATCTTTGTCAGGATCTCTCAGTTATTGTCCTCGCCGTGTACCCAGATCATACTCGGACAACATATTGATTGGTATCGCGTTGTGCTAAGGGGGTGGGGGTGTGACGGGCGGATTGATTATTGGAGACACCTCTGGATGGATGACTGCAATGCTCGTGAGCTCAAATTTATTGACGTTCGAGTTGAATTTGGGGAAGAGTTTGTTTCTAGCCAGAGAGCAGCAGCATTTGTCTTGACTGATATAGAGGCCGTCATTTCAATATGAAAATGAATTATAATCCCGTCAAAAAAAATTTTTTTTTAAATGTAACTGAAACAAGACTAGTCAAAACGTTGACTGACCCAACCGTTTTTTCTGGCGTAGCTTAGGATAGAAGAACCAATCACTGTTGGGCATGAATATCTATTTGCACTTCCAGTCCGTCCCCTTTCTGGGGTGGTACATAGGACATCTAGCCTTCTCAGATCAAGACTACACTACACATCTAGCTATGATTTTTTTCAAAAGTACGGCGCTAGAGCCCGATTCCTTGTTGTCACATGTTGTGAAAAAGGAGCATATTATATTTATAATCGAGTGGTTTGGCCATCTCGTTAGAATGCAGCAACACCAGACTTTATCACACGCAATAAATCTCACAACATCAGCAACGTGCCAAGAGGACGGCCACGAAATAATTGATGGACCACATTAGAGACAATGTGTACCTCCACGGCGTGATGACAGCCATTGCCAGCCGGCGTGTAGTGGATGATGATGGTGATGAGGATGATGATGAGGATGATGGCGATGACGATATGTTTAACTAATTGTCTAATCTTAGGCACTAATGTTAAAACAACTTTTTACTAATATTTCACCTCCGAGACTTAGATAGCGAACACTTAACACAATGGGAGCGATGTAAGGAAAACATTACACACACACAAACACACACAAACTCTCTCTCACACACACACACACATGCATATACACACACACACACACACACACACACACACATATATATATATATATATATATATATATATATATATATATATATTTACATACTGCGATGTTTTGTTTAGGGGAAAACGGGCAGGTGCTAACCCTTGTCTATTGTAGTAACGTTGAATATGCATAAAAATAAGGTGTTGATGCAGTGCATCTTTGCGTACCGCTATAAACAAGTCATATCTATATATACTTATATATAAGTATTTTCTACCGACAAAATGCATATTATTTCCTTTGGCATTTTGTTTATTTAACCTTTGCTAAAGGTGGCTCAGATAATCTAAACAACAAAAACTCTCTGGCTGTCTGACTATATGATTTGATTTGATTTGATTCAAAAACCGACATCACAGCACTCGGGGCATTTCCATAAGTGTTCCGTCCCCATCTTCAGCAACCAGCGAAGAGTTCCGATACTAATGGTGCCAGTAGCATTCTGATTAAACCACCGTCTTGCCTTTCCTCTGAGCCTCGAGCATCTGCCAGAACCTTTTGTCACCCCCAACTGCATCAATCTCACCACACTGTGGTGATCAATCTGCTCCTCCGAACTGTGCAAGCTCTCCCACAAGGCACTAACCACGTCTGCCTTATCATGCATCAGTATTCCACCAAGCTGTGCAGAGCCAGTCAGTCTGTCCGTCTGTTCATTTCCCAACACACCTGCATCTCCCGGTGAAAAAATCCAGACAATACTCCTCACCCGTGTCCTCCACAGCGAGGCATGCCACTCTGCACGAAGCATGCCTGTTCTGATCTTCCTCAGCATGCTTTCTGAGTCAGTTACAATCACAATGTGTGTGTGTGTCTTGTTCTCTAGCCAGCGGAAAGCCGCAGTGACCGCCTCCACCTCCATTCTTAAGCTGGATGTTATGGTAACATATGCTAGGCTCTTCTGCACCAAACGTCGACCATTAACATTTGCTAAGAAACCCCAAGCACTTGTTTTGCCTCTTGACACTGAACCGACTGTGTAAATGATCAAATCTTCTGAGCGAGCATTATCTTGAATTAATTGCTGAATTTCCACCTCTGTGGCGCCTGCTGGCCAGTCTCTGCATTCCCGGCTCAGTGTGATTATGACCCTACACAAGTCTGACTGTTCAGGTTGCACTTTGACCCACTCCTCTTCTCGCCTAATGTTCTCAAGGATGCAAACCTGTCTGATTGTGTCTTTTGCCTGAACCATCCATGACTTCCCTCTTATCAGCCGCTGACCCTTAACTGCACCCACAGCTTCGTGCAAAGGGTGGTCTGTGTCTGCAGCTACCCTAAGATATGACTTCACCTGCAGCACCTAGTGCCTACCTGCAACAATCGGCAAATAAGAATGTATCGCATACACACCACTGGGGTGTCTCTGGTGCATTGCTGCTTTCTGTATGCGCTCTAGTCTGTCCATCTGGCTCTTTGAGACGGTAAGCATTCCCAGGCCATAATCAACAACTGACAGGATCAGCTGCTGATATAGTGTGAAAAGCATTCTCTGTTCTATGTCAATTGCAGCCATAGTCCTAAGTGCACTAAGTCCTTTTTAGCATCTTGTCACAACACTCTCCACATGGTCCATAAAGGACAGGCTCCTGTCAAATGTAATTCCCAGATACTTCAGTCTGCTCTCTCTGTTGACGTTTCTACCATCTATCGTGAGACTTGGGACATTAGCTTTAACGATTCTGTTGTCCAGAGAACACCACAAAACCGACGCCTTTTCCGGGTGGACGACAGCCCTCATTGCTGTACACCACTCAGTCACTTTGTCTACTGTCGCTTGTAGCTCCCGGGCTGTTTGTTCCTTCTTTTTCCCCTGCCTATATGCACGTATATCATCTGCAAAAGTCAGTATCCTTCGAACTCCTGGTGCTTCTAGGCTTGCAATCTTGCTCGTATACACGTTAAAGAGCACAGGCGAGATTGCTGATCCCTGCGGCATTCCTGGGGCCAAACTGCATGGTTCTGAGGTCCATGAGCCCAGTCAGAGAGCAACCCGACGTTAATACAGGACAGATGCAACCCAATTCACCAGCCATGGACTGACCTCCTTCTCCTTCAGTGCAGTCATTAAGATGTCGTATCTCACTCTGTTATAATTATCCTCGAGATCCAGTCCTACCGCCATAGTTTTCTGTCTGTTCTGGAACCCTTCATAGACGTCAAAAGCAAAAGTGGCCGCATTTGCCCATGTGTCCTTTCCTGGCCTGTAGCTTCCCAGACCTCTTGGGAGAAGCTTCCCCCTTTCCAAAATTTCTTGCAGCTTTACAGCAACTATTTTCTTCAAGATCTTCCCAAATGTGTTTTGTTAAGTGATGATTCTAAAGCCACTGAGCTTTGATCCTTAAAATGTTTTGGTAGTGGGATTAGATAGCTGTGCACCCAGTCCTGCGGTACTGATATTGTCTAAATGCTCTGGTTAAAACAGCCAGCCATCTCTGCCAGGTCCTCATCGCTCACATATCATTCACAAAAGTTTCCCACTTTGCTCTTTTGGCCCGTGCTGCACAGTGCTTGAAAACCTCCACCTTATTTTTTTTTCACGTTCTCTGCCATCTCCACTTCCTCTCGTGAGCTTGAGGGTGTCTGTCGTACTTTCATTAGCAGCTTCACTGCGGCTCTCTTTGTCTTCCACGCCTGTTCTACTTCTGGAGTCCACCATAGGGGCTGTAGAAAATTAGTTCTGGCGATTCCATTGCATGCTTCCTGTCTGAGGCGTCCAAGTAGGTTGTTTGGTCCACATATACCGGAAGGTCTTGCGTGCTCTGACAGCCTTAACCTTACTGGGTTTAGAAATCAGGACTGAACATGGTAGGTGATCACTCCAGTGGTCATTCAGGACAGTCCATTTAACATATAAAACCGACGACTGGGAGACAAATGTCAAGTCAATGGCTGCGTCTGCATCGCCAGACCTCATTGCCATCCTAGTCAGCCTCCCATCATTGATGCAGACCATATCGGAGTCAACCATGGCCTCTGCAAGAGCAATTCCCTGTCAGTTTTCTCCACTGCTGTCACATTATCTGTTCCTCGCGTTGAAATCCCCACATATGAGTAACCTATCACCTGGTAACTCCTCCAATTCCTTGAGCCACCCCCATTGTTCACTTCTGACAAAACAGTCTACCGTGGCATATATATTTATGAGCGTTCAACTTAAGCCACCAATTTCCACCTGTATCCCTTGAAGCTCTCTTCCGCTTTGGTTCCACTGGCTCAAGTCAAGCACCACATGCTTCACTCCTTCCTTTACCACTAGACCTTGTCCATGTCTCTC